TAGCTATTCTCATCATTCAATAGTCTTAGCTATTCTCATCACTGAATAGTCTTAGCTATTCTCATCACTGAATAGTCTTAGCTATTCTCATCACTGAATAGTCTTAGCTATTCTCATCATTCAATAGTCTTAGCTATTCTCATCATTCAATAGTCTTAGCTTCTTGCTTCCTGCTTGGTTGGACATTGTTGTGTAGCTTTTGCTCCAGTACTGCTCACATTTGTACCTGCCCATTCACTGGATGCTCAGCTTAGCTGCTGCCTAGTTACCTGGTTTTAGCAATAATTTCTCTTGTAGCCTTTGATTACTTCATTTGAAGCACTTCAACAAAAATAAAATGCTCAGCTGTATAAATAAAATTCAATTTTGATAAGATCAACTCAAATTTAGCTAGAAATTTTGTGTTGCATAACGTAACACTGCATGTGCTGCATAGTTGACTAACCTGAGTATTCTGCGACTGTGACTATATTTAACTGGTTGATTTAAATGAAGTCTTGGTTTGGATTTTTACTTTCTGCACCTGAACTATCCCCCTGTGACACTGAGACATCTAGCAATGTAGCATGACTAATGGGATGATGAGGCTAAGTGCTGACAGCAAAGGAAGAGCTTGAACAAATGGGAATAATTCGGTCATGATTTTAGGGCAATAGAGTGTTTGGAGGAATGATTTCTGTTTTTGCATCCACATGGGTTTCTTCCCACATCTGAATTCATGATGAATTTGCTGAAAGTGTAGCCATGAATGACCTTAAGTAGATTGTACCCCCATATGAATCAGTGTTGCCTGCCTTGTGCCCTTACGTCGTATCATCACCGTAAGTATAAATAAGAACTTGGATGGAGGCTCCATATAGACCGTTTTATGAATCTCAGTTAGACCTGAACATCGCCAAGCGCAGTATAATAATTTAGCTTTTAGCTTTCCTCGGAATTTATCTTCATTTTCTATACAGCAGAAATGATTATGATAAAGGACACTTTTGCGATGATACGGGTGCTTAAAACAGCTCTGTCTAAAAGACGGCAGAGTCACCTCTCTTGTTGTCTGGGTTCGGTGCCCAGCCTTGTGATGTTATCCCTACCCCTCTCTGATCTCAGCCCATCGATTAGATAACAGACCTGCTCCCCCAGACATCTGATTCCATGATCGATTGCTTCCTCTTTGTGCAATAGCCCAGATGCCTCCCCTTAACTCATGTGCACTCCTCTTTTTATGAAGATCAAGCGCATACCGACCGAGTCCAAAAGCGGCCTATTTCAGACAGATATGCAGTCGATGGGATACACTAGTGTAAACCATCCTTGGAACCACTGGGTCCCTGGTTGTGCTGCATTTATATTTTAAGGATAAAGACGGGAGGAGAGAGGAAGATGAATTTCTGTTTTACCAAAAGAAACCCTGGCATGTCTCTCACAATGACATCACCAAGACCATGTCTCTCACAATGACATCACCAAGACCATGTCTCTCACAATGACATCAGCAAGACCATGTCTCTCACAATGACATCACCAAGACCTCATATCAATACTCTTTTTTCATGGCTGAATCACTTCATCTTTACAGTATGTTCACTGATGCTGCCACGTGAAGTGATGCTTTCACTAAGCCTCTCACTAATGCTGGGACTCCCATGCCCGACTCTCCTGGCATCTCCTCACCTTCCTTAAGCATCCCCACTTTCAGACACTTGGTGAAGCGGCAGGCCTGGCAAGACTTGCGTCTCCGTTTTGTGATCTCACACTCGCTTGTGGCTGGGCAGCTGTACTCGATGTTTCCTAGGGAGAAAGAGACATGAAAGTGAACAAAAAATATCTATCCTCCATTTAACCTTTCATCCTTGTTACGGCTGCAGGGGGGCCGGGGCTCATCCCAGGCAGTACATATTGCGAGGCTGGAGCAGAGCTCGAATGGGAAGCCTGACCATTGCAGTGCAACAGACACTCATGTGCTCACACAAACATGCAGTCATTTACTATGGCTGGCATAGAGACGCATTTTAGGCTAACTGTAGATCTGGAGGAGGAATCCCATGTGACACTAGGAAGACATGCAAACTCTACCCACACAGGTGGAGGTGGGTTTGAATCCCCAACCCCAGCAGAACCAGGCAATAAGCACTCAGAGTGATAAGCACTCTGTCTACTCATAGAATTTACATCCACAGAAATAATCAAAAGCTTTTTTAGCAATGAAACATTCTGGTTCAACTACAGGCTGTAAAACAATGTGGGTGCACACAGCCTAAGATTTCATCCGTATGTAGGGGGGTGGAATTTTATCCTTGGGCTTATCTGGTTAGTTCATTAGTTTAACAACGTAAATTGCCAACCAAGTACCATCCTTGCCAGACTATTGGCATTCTTGCAACCAGCTTCCAGATGTAGCCACCTGAAATGCTTCTCAGTCCTGAAGGAGCTTCCACAAGGTCTGGGCACAAGTTGGTTATGTTGCTCTTACTCTTCGATCCACCTCATCCCAAAACCAGGCCTATAGTGTTTAGGTTGGGAGGTTGTGGGGGGGGGGGCTTCTCATCAGTCACAGCACTCTATCACAATATAGTAATTACCACATAACCCCATATCCCATGGTTTTTGTCAAGTCCACTCATAATTTACTTAAAATGTATTTGAATTATACTATTAATTTATTTTTGATTGCCCTTTTACTGCTTTTTAAAATGTAATATTGTTGCATTACATTTATTTTAATTATTATTTTTGCTGCTTAATTCCTTTTTCTTGTGTGCAAGTTTCATGTTATTGTTATATTTTACAATGTTTGTATTTTCCTTTGGGTTCACTTTGGGTCAGCCTCTTAACCTCGAGGAGTGCTTAGGGTTGGTCAGTGAATCTAGAATTTTGACTGGTACTATATATACTACAGATATGTGTGCTGAGTTAATTTTATGAATCGTTATGGTGAATTTTTCCTGAGTAATACCAGTGTGACCCTAAAATCACAGCTGGTGTGTATAGCTGCTCTGAAACCGAAGAGTGACAGTTGCAGGGCTATTTTACGGCATCTTGTCAGCGATGTAACTTGCCTGGCCGGCACCTCCTGATCGCTGTGGACAAGGTGCCAGTGCCTGTTGTGACACTGACAAGCCCCGGTGACGACAGCGTGGCCAGCTGCACATCAAAGACAGCGAAAAGGCCACAGCCAGTCCCTGTGCCTCATTGATGTGCCAAAATAATCACAGGATTATGACTTCCTGGAGCGCCATGGCTGACCAGCTGCCGGGGGTCACCTGAGGGAACAGTGGCCCCCATGGTAGGTTACTGTCGAGGGTGCAGGCCGGCCCAGAGCCAATCAGCACCCTACACACTTCCCAAGAAATGTGAGTGAAATCCCGAGAGAATCTCGGCTGTCTAGTTGTGGAGAAGCTATTTATTTTCTTCTCTATTCCTGCTAATTAGGACTAAAAGTAACATTTAAAGCCATGTTTTTTTCTCCTTTGTCATTACACATGTATGCCTGGTCACAGTCATTATTTATGTTATTAATCAGGCCTGCCACATACCCATGTATTCTAGGTTTATATCCCCAATCTGTCTCATAAAAATCCTACTGCTCCATCTGCAGACTGGAGCCCTAATCACTCTCCTTTTATCCTGCCTCTGCCAAAGAGGGTGTCTCCGACTGAGGGAAATCCGCTTTCCTGAACCTAGCGGTCGACACCATGCCTGAGCCTCCCCCCCAAACTAAAAGGGACGGTCTCCCCACTTTGTAATGAAAAGCCTGCTACTTAATTACGCTTACCCCTGGGTTGGGGTTATTGACGGGAGTCCCGTGGCTCGGACAAACGGAGGAGGCTTAAGCCCATTATATGCAGCCCCCCCGGGAAGGAAAAAAGAGGAGAGGACATATCCTTTCATGTGGTCCTGTCTTCATCCTCTTTGTTGTACCTGGACAGCTGTCTGTTTAAACGTCCATCATGTGAATTTTAGTGCCATTACATGCCACTAGGACAGGTGTATATTTGGTGATCAAATCTTTATGATGCATAATATGAAAAAAATATTCACTCATTAATGATGCTTAACGATGCGGTATCGCCAATCAGGGAAGAAAAACAGCAGTACTTTGAAAGTCAGATTCACTGAGCACAAATGATGAGTGACCATGGTGATCAGGTACATCTAAACACATTTCATTTAACTTTCTTGGTAGCTACCTTTGGTAGATGCTGCTGACATTCTGCGAACTTGGTGTAATTTTAGCCACCAGATTAACTCTATTCTCTATAAATTAACTGAACATAACGTAGACTGCTCACTCAGACCACTCACTCAGACCGCTCACACAGACCACTCACTCAGACTGCTCACTCAGACCTCTCAGTACCATACAGGCATCACAAGACCCAAAACCATGAAAACAGCGAGGAGATCCACATCATCTTACTTGAGCATTTCACCTTTTATAATCCATACAGGAAAGACCAGACTATCGAATAAAGACTCCACATGCACAGGAAAGCCATGCCTATACAGTGTACGCTGGCATGTTGAAGGAGCTGATGTAGAGAGGAATACCTTGTATTGTCCGTTTGAAAAAGGCTTTGCACGCCTCGCAGGAGGCTACACCATAATGGTACCCCGATGCCATGTCACCACAGACCAGGCAGAGCCTCTTGGACACAGAGCTCAGGGCGTAGGTGCACTTCACAGACACATCTTCTGCAGTGGCACTGGGCCAGACATCATTGTAACGTCGGTGGTAAGCCCTGACACCAGGCGTACTGGGCACCAAGGTGGACGGGGAGTCAGGGCTGTAGGAGCGGCTGTTGGCAGTGGCCCTGGGCCGGACATCATCGTAGTGTTCATGGTAAGATCTGGCACCAGGCGTACTGGGCACCAAGGTGGTCGGGGAGTCAGGGCTGTAGGCCTGGCTGGTGGCTGTGGCCGTGTAGCCGCCACTGGTGTCTGAGGTGCTGCTGGGGCTGGCTTGGCTGGCTGTTTCGAGGGCCGAGGAGGGGCTGGAGGGCTCCATCTTAATGAAGGGCCTGCAGTGGTGGCCATCTGTAGCCATTCTGCTCAGCAGCCTGGAACGAACGAGAGCACCAAAGAAGAGTCAGATTAAAGGGCTCTAGCAATATCCTGAAGGTGCATGATCCAACTGAAGAGGCGCCAAGCCTGTCCATGCTAACAGGGAAGTGAAGCTGGATGACTGGGAGAGATACATGCAAGCAGATACTTCAAGCGTGAGGCTATCAGACAAGATCAACCTACTTAGCAGAACAGAGCTGGCAGGAGAAGGGGCAGCTTACATAGAAGGAACTAGACTGACCAATCACTTTCCAGTGAGAGATATGCAATGTGAGCTGTCACATTAAATCTGCATTGTAGAAGGAGAGAATTTGATTGAGTATTGATTTACTGTCAGCTGGACAGTAACAGTATTTGTGAATGGTATGCTCTGAGATAACTGACATGCAGTCTCCAGTCAATAGACACACAACATGTATGTTTTTGAGCAAATTGGACCTTTTTAGTGTTAATATAAGTCGGAAATGTAACACCAGCAAAATCATTTTACTTTCTGTATTCACAGTATCTCCTTTAAAAAAAATGTGGCTGCTGAGCTGTTGCATTCTTCACCAACAGCTGATTGCTCTGAGAGAGCAGTAATCTCTCCCATGACTTGCGTATATCATCACAACCATAACAGTAGTATGCAGGTGCTCCGTTAACTCCATCAGATTTGCAGTACATTTGTTATCCGTTCAAAGACTTCCATACTGTATAACTGGTTGGAAGTCATATGGTTATCAAGCAATGTTACTTTTCAGCAGTTTCTTATGTTTTTCATTTTCTTAGCGTTTAAATTTTATAAACGATAAGTCGATATTATTATAGTTGATTATATTATACGATATTACATTATAGTCAGTTATATGATATTTATATCACCCAGTCCTAGATGGAAGTGGAGATGTCTATTATAACCAAATGCCCAGAGGTTCTCAAAATACGGGTAGGATGAATATATTCATGAAACCATCCACTGGCTTGAAAATAATCCCGGAACCATGTATTTCCTAAGCATTGAGTGAGGTTGTTTATGCAAATCTCCCTACATATCATTTGATAAGTATCATTTTGCACATACTTAACACATATTTTCACATATTTAAAAAGAGCAGTCAGCACAGGCACCTCATGTCCTGGTTAAATAACTGTGAAACGAATGAGATGAACTGACACCAACTACTGATACCCTCGAGTACTGCGCTTTGCTTCCATTCAAGCATTTCCATCAGAAAACTACACAACCGCTGCAGAGCACAACATAAGTGCAAAACACATTGATCTTTTATTGGCTGATTTATCGAGGTTAGGCCAGGAGGATGACCAAGGAGACGAGTAAATGTGAGCCTGATGAACACAGAGAGGGGACAACAAGCATGCTGCCTATACAAGCTTGTAAAAGAGTATATAATCAATACACACCAGTTTCCCAGGAGACAGTCACCAGTCCCTGTAATGGAGCTTGGGAGGGGAGCTAGGGGCCACTTGCAAGGCCCATGCAATTACTTCCACAGCCTTCATCACAATGTTAAATTTAGCCACTCTCCAGCTACAGTACGTCACCCTGCCTTTTCCGAGCCATGAGGTCATTTGGGGCAACGACATGAGCCCTACTATCGCACCACCCGTAAAATGCCGCTGCCCAAGACAGATAAGATCTATTGATTGTCCCTTTACTTCCTGTTTCTCAATATCGACCATTAACTGTGCTTCTACATTTCTTTCAAGCTGACCAGTTACAGTGTTTCAGATAAAGGGAGATCAGTCAGAGAATGAAGGATCTCTGTCATGTCCAGTTTGTGAAGGTACCGATAGTCTATGCAAGTGACTGTCTATAAGAATACCGTGTCCCTCCCAAGGATGGTCTATTCAGGTGATTGTCTATAGCAGTACCGCATCCCTCCCAAGGATAATCGATTGAGGTTATTGTCTATAGCAGTACCATGTCCCTCCCAAGGATGGTCTATTCAGGTGATTGTCTATAGCAGTACTGTGTCCCTCCCAAGGATAGTCTATTGCGGTGGCTTTCTATAGCAGTACCGCGTCCCTCCCAAGGATAGTTCATTGAGGTGATTGTCTATACAGTAGCAGTACTGTGTCCCTCCCAAGGATAGTCTATTCAGGTGATTGTCTATAGCAGTACTGTGTCCCTCCCAAGGATAGTCTATTGCGGTGGCTTTCTATAGCAGTACCGCATCCCTCCCAAGGATAATCGATTGAGGTTATTGTCTATAGCAGTACCATGTCCCTCCCAAGGATGGTCTATTCAGGTGGCTGCCAATGACAGTACTGTCTATCCTATGTTCAATATATACAGTCTATTCAAATGGAAGAAGGGGTGCAGTTGCTCACCAACCTAAGGCAGCATTACATGGAAAGATAATAAAGTTAGATAAATAAGTATATTTTAAATAGTGTTCATTCATGCTAAGTGTAAGGTTTTTTTGTATTTTTTTATAGGAAATATATTGTTTATAGCAGGGGTGCCGAAGTCCAGTCCTGGGGGGCCAGAGCCCTGCACTTTTTTGGGTTTCCCCTCATTTAACACACCTGATATAACTCCTTGTGCTAATTACCACACAGCTCTTGAGCTGAATCATTTATGGTGGAAAAGTGAAAGAACTAAGCTACACAGGGCTCCGCCCCTCCAGGACTGGAGTTGGGCACCCCTGGTTTATAGGATCATGTTAGTCACATTGTAATTGTTGATTCCCCATCAGGACATCAAAATGCAAGACAGAGAAGGCAATGGTATAAGTTTGCTTATGTGCCATTAACATGGTATAAGTTTGCTTATGTGCCATTAACACTGGATCGTATTTTAGTAGCAATGTAGCAACGTAAACTTTATCAACATGTTCGTGTATAATTTAATCCATTCAGTATAGCATAAAGCGGGATGAAACCCACATGGGACACAGAGTTATCATTACTGAGACACAGTTACACAGAAGTCATCACTGCTGATTCAGACATTGTGATGATGTGGAAGTGATGATCACGGAAACCTTGTGTGTCACAAGAAAAGTTTAAAGGCTTTCCCAGTTTCGGTGGGTTTTCCCCAGGTATCGTTTTCCTCCCCAGATCCTCGGTGGTGGGGCTCAGTTAAATTGATGTTGAATAAGCATTTCAGTGCCATGCGATGGACTGGTGGCCCCTGCAGTATTTATCGTCCATTATGCCTCACTGTTTCCAGGACCGGCTCTGAATGATTATTTTCATTAAGGATACCATTTTATGTGTACATTTTTAGCATAAGAGCACCAAAAAATGTCATTGGTATCCTCAGGTGTGAAGGAAAGTAGTTGCGCCTGGTATAAGAAAACAGACTGCTGTCTTTGGTTTATATACTAATATTTCATGATTGACTTCCAATCAGTGATAAGCTTATCAATAGACAACTTAAGATCAGTACAGAAACCACAGTATGAAATTTGCGATATAGTCTCACAGGTATTACATAATAGAATTTACCAGGGTTAAAAATAACCCTGTACATATGTGGGTCAGGAGGATTGCTATTTTTACAACAAAATGTACTGTATGAAGCATAATGTATATCACTGTATTGGGTACACATGTGTGTCAAGTAAAGCATTGTGAAGGCAAGGAGCCATGCATGAAATTAATGTTATCCTGGTAGACTGGCCTTGTTCCGGGGACAACACCACTCATACAGAGAAGTCGTCCAGCCTGGGACACAATGATTATATCGTTCATCAGCCGAAAGGCTGAACAGGAGTGCAGATGCCTAAAAGCATACAGTGAAGACACTTAACAAGCATCTCATGTGTCTGAGATGGTTAAATAGCTGTCAAACGAAGAAGAAGAAGAAAATGGAGAAGAGAAAGAAAAGAGATTCGAAGTATGCATGCATGCACTAAGCCAGGGGACAGTCTGTGATGTCATATAAGTGCTGTTTCCATGGTGTGGGATAATACAATCACGCCTGAGGCCATAATACTGAAGCCAATGTGTATCCAGATATTTATGAAAATGCTGTTGAGTGTCTTTTCCTTCATCAATTGTTTAGCTTTTTTAAAAATGTAAAAATTTGCTACATTAATAAAATGAGTTGTGTGCTTGTAAACTAAAGGAGTGTGATATTTACACTCTTAGCAGAGGCCAATAAATCGATGCAGCATTGCTCTGAAACGGGGCAGCTGAGCAGCGCTTTGCCGACATTTTCGTCACCCTTCACGGCTTCTCGCTTATCGCGGCGCCTCCCTCCTCGGCCTTCACTCAGGATCCTTGTTGGGTTTCTCACAGGCAGTTTTGTCAGGCCGCTTCCTTATTGATTCCCGCAATGAGCTGAGTTGGCCATCGATACTAATGTTATTTTACATTTCAATTACTGCTCAGAAACATAACCTTCACAAGACGGAACACTCAATATCAATGACATGCAGTAATAAACACTAACATGCCTGCCAATCACAGACTCACTCTTTTTTCACCACATGAATTGAAGCAGAATCTCCATGTGTTGTAAACTAAAAACAGAATACAGTATTCAAAAACGTATGTTCAGTTAAGGCGCAGGGACAATTACAGTTCTTACCATTTACACTGTAGTTCCCTTGTATCTGTGGGTGACATGTTCCAAGACCTACCACAGATAACTGAAACTGCAGATAATCACAAACCATCAGAAGACCCCATATATAATGTAACATTCTTTACATATGGTCATTAATACATTACACACAGTAAAGCATTACCAACATTAAATAGAGTATATAGTATTGTACAGTATGGTACTCTCTCAAAGGACAGGGATGTTAGCCTAATTCTCAAATGTCATGTATCAAGGGATAACTGAACAATGAAAATCATGCTCTTATACTCCCATCAAAGGATGAAGGAACAATGAAAAAACATTGTTACACATTGTACAATTTGTAAACTTATATAGTATATGGTTCTACAGTAAACTAATACAACTTAGTCATTATGTTAAAGAAACGTCAGATATCATAGTCTATTTGCCGATGTCACACACCTGAAGCTGCAGTCCATGTCATTACCCACCAGCAGTCCATGACTTTGCTCACCAGCAGTCCGTGTGTTTACCCACCAGCAGTCCATGTCTTTACCCACCAGCAGTCCATGTCATTGTCCACCAGCAGTCCATGTCATTGCCCACCAGCAGTCCATGTCATTACCCACCAGCAGTCGGTATGTTTACCCACCAGCAGTCCATGTCATTGCCCACCAGCAGTCCATGTCATTACCCACCAGCAGTCGGTATGTTTACCCACCAGCAGTCCATGTCATTGCCCACCAGCAGTCCATGTCATTACCCACCAGCAGCCCATGTCTTTACCCACCTTTGTTTACCCAGAAGGCCTTTGTGCAAAAACAGCAGGGACACAAGGCTGTGTTCAGAAGTGGAGGGGTCAGTCGCCTCACACAACAGTCCCCATCGACAGCCAATTGGCTTTGGTTACTCCATCACTGCCATTGAATTTGTGGGGTAGTTTTAATAGGCAGATCAGCACTGAAAAGCTTTTGGAAAGGCGAGCTGCATTCCCAGAGCCGTGTGCCAGCCATTTCTCTGAAACAGATACTAGGGTTGATGGAGTCACTCCTGACATATTTCTAAAGGGCAACAAGCTTCAGTCCAGAGAACAATGATCACCTCTTATGGAGGGCCTCATCACATGACTATAAATTAAGTGACCTTGTTGCAGTTGTGATGTTAAGTCTGGTAATGCATAAATGAGAAATTATACTCATACTCAGCACAGCCAAGGATTCATATCTGTCTGATTGTTTTTCTTTGCGAAAATTAAAATATGTCAGTTTGAAATTTATTGATCCAAAGTCCAAGAGAGACAGTAGCTCCACCTAGTGGAGGAGTGGATGGTAATTGAGATTATGTAAGGTCATCACTATGTTTGAGCTATAAATTTGGACAATTTGGATAATCTTCAGAAAGTGCCATCTTTCTCACTGGTAAAGTTGAATATTTCTGATAAACTGAGATGGCTAATTAAGGGTATGTTTCTTCATCACCGATTGACCTCCTTGACTATCATGTTAATCGAATCAGATTCAGTATTACGTTAGCTGGGCTGTTCTAAGCTCTCAAAGGATCTCTTGATGTTCTGTAATTAGCTTCTAATTCAGTCCATAAAGGCTTGTGTTTCGCACCCTGGACCCTGCTATTTCTACAACATCTCACACTATACCATACAACCATCACCCTTCCTGCCATAGCAGGAGGTAACCCAGGAGATAACCAGTGTTCCTCCTGTCTTGAGGAAGACAATGAACGATATTGGAAGCATGAGGTGCAAAGAGAAAAGAGTGCTCTCGGATGAACATGCTAAACTCCCATGCAGCCTGTCAGTCGTAGAGGGCTGAGCCATTTTCCATCGGTGTGTAAACGTGCACAAGGTCCCTCTGAACTTCCGGGTGAAACAGGCATGTTGCAGTAACATGCATCCTGCATCTGTCAAACATCCGATTCTGCAGGTTCAGCCGCATTAAGGTAGAAGACATACAAAAGGATGGAAAGGTAGGAGGAGAAGGAAGAGGGGAGTGTAGAAAAGGCTGTACACATTTATGAAAAGCATACAGCTGCAGGGACTCTGATAGGAACCCTGCCTTTGTGGGGCTGACTGCATTGTCTCTAAGCATTCTGAAGTTTGACTTCCCACCAATTAAAATCACAGGAAACCTTTAATGAGCAAATTGTGTAAAAAGCAGATTTGAAATTTCACCCTTACTAAATGTTGCTCTGTGGACCAACATGAATTATTTATCATATAAAAAAATGCTTTATACTTTTAAATTTATAGTAATTTTAAAATGTACTTTCAAAATATTTATTTCTAAATTTCATAGGAAAAAAATAATCTTTTAACATGTTGAAAACGAAAAACAGCAATGCAGTGCCGTACTAATTTAAATGGATCGGCTGGCCATAAACTGGCTCACAAAGCAATTATTATCTCATACAGAGGACATTTATTTACGCTTAATAGTAAGGTGATCACATGACTGAATTCTTATGGATCATATGCAGACATAAATTTTTATGTATTATCCAGTTAACTTTACAATTTAGAAATTATATGCTTGACTAAATTTTGAATAATGTAATATGTAAAATTAAAGGTAAAATTATTAAAAATCCATTTTATATTAATATTATTTTTATATTAATATTGCTTTCATTTTTCATTTCTACTTTTCCATATATACATATATATTCCATATATTTTTATTATTATTATTTGTACTTTTCCACATATACACACATACACACACACACACACATATATATATATATATATATATATATATATATTCAAATGTGCATTCTTTGGTCTTGCAAGAGCAGGTGCAGAGTAACACCATTGTAATGTAGTTTAACATAAAGATATTGTTATGTAATGCCTTACATAAGGATAATGCAACAATTACCTGTTCCAATTATGCCACCGGCGTAAGCAGAAAAGTGGATTTTAGGGCACAGAAAGGACGAAGACGGCCCACTCAGCAAAAGCAGAGCTCCATAAACGCTGACAATCCTTCTCACAGATAAAGGCTTACAATAGGCTCCTCTGCAAGGTTTGAGAATTAAAAGGAGCATCCGGCCTGTCATGATGAGGCCAGGACGGTCCCAGCCCAGAGCAGAGGCGTCCCGCCTGCTCGCTGTGCTCCTCCTGCTTATGCCCAACACAGAACCTGCAGCGAGTTCTGCAACCTGCACTTGTGCAGTGAATGTTCATTTTAAAATAGTACAGCGATTTACCAGCAGATTCCAGCCACAATCAGTGGAGGACTATCACAACTGCACCTATATCACCTGTCCATTACTAACATGCATAAAAAATGCAACCTACTGACATTTAAGTATTCGAAGGCACAATATAGTATGTATGGATACATTTACAAACTTGAAACTAAATGCAGTTCCCAACATGTATTGCATATGATATTATGCATTAAGTATGTTGATATTTTGGTTGAATCTATCATTATTATTAGCGTAAATATTAAATTGTGCAGTACTTTAAAAATTGTAATAATTTTTCCAGTCTAAAAATCAAAAGATAAAGGTAAATTTATGATACCCTGCCCCACCCCAGTAAATGCATGTGGTCATAAGAAGATAAGACATTTACAAACGAGAGGAGGCCACTCGGCCCATTAAGCTCGTTTGAGGTCTGTAGATGGGCTTGTCTACCTTGTTGGAGCAGAAGTGCAGTGCGGTGCAAAAGTTTCAGCGCTTCGCTAACCGCATGGTGAGTTACAGGACTTCACTATTCCAAATGACAATTACAGCGCTTCACTAACTGCATAGAAAGTTACAGTGCTTCACCAACCCCAGATAAAGCTACAGCGCTTCACTAGCCCCATACAAAGTTACAAGGCTTCACTAACTCCATGGACAGTTACATTGCTTCACTAACCCCATGGACAGAACAGGGAAGTATAGAGAGCAGCACCTACTGATTATGGTAGTTCAGAGGGTCCAGGATGCAGAGTTCTGAAACATCCATCACTGCAGTGTCAGCATTCCACAAGAGGCAGCAGAGACGTCCCCCAAAAACAGGAATGGATGCCTTGTAGGGGGAACAGTGCACCAAAATAAATAAATAAAACTCTTCTCCCACCCAGTCCAAGGTGGACCCCCCACCCCAAGCGTCACCCTCCCCTCCTCCCGCGGGGACAGGTATTTCACAGTCGCTACTGCCTTCTGCTCAGTGGTGTGTCCCTGCTTGACATGCGGAGACGAGGGGAGACAGGAGAAGGGGTGCCCAATGAAACCAAACCAAGGCGGAGTGGACGGAGGGAGACAGGCGGAGGGAACGAAAGGCGCAGGAGGACGGGAGGAACGACTCGCTCATGGCCAGACCGGGGCTCTTTAAGGCTTCGTGGCTGATGAATAGGGAACAGCTGCTGTTGGTTGGCTTTAAAAGGAGGCGGGGCTTGAAACTAAAGCATGGGGGGGGGGGGGCTCAAACCCACAAGGCATACACGTAAGTGCGGCTCGGCTGAACTTCTAGTGAATGCCTAGGGTTCAAGTGTAGCAGCATCAGAGCAGAAGCTAAATAACAAATAATGGTTAAGGCAAGATGGATGGATGATAAATGAAATTAAAAAGCTGAGATTTGGGTGACTGCCTGTTAAAGCTATACATAGCATGTTGATTCAGTCCCGGCAGTGCTTTAAAAATAGCGATCTTAGTGCATTAAACTGACAGCAGGACACGTGGGCTATAACTACAGAATCGTTCATTTGGTCAGCAGTTTAAGAAAGGAACTCCACGTATGTGCATTTGTATGACCTTCGATCTGCAGGCTTGAAATTTGCCATAACGTACCACAGACCGAAAAACTCACTGATTCCATGACAGCTCTGAGATTACTCCTTGCGCTATTTCTTTTTAAGTGACTATACTCATTTTGTTCCAAATGCAATGGAAGTATTAACGAGATTGTTCGCAGAGATCTGATTCTAAATTCAAGGTGGGACCAGAGAAAACTCCAGGAGTTTTGCAAGAATGGAGTAAATGAGGCAATTTTCTGTAGTTCCTTCCCATCAGACTGTGGAAAATGAAACCTACACTGTAGCGAAAAAAACACACGTTAAAAAGTATAGAAAGGGAAAGCAATGATGTCATAACGAAAGAGGATAGACGCTGACTTTCCCATCCTCTTTTCTGAGAGGTGGTAGTGTTTTTTGTTGTTAATGGAACCTGAGAATGTCCACGTCACCAGCTCACGTTTCCCTGATCAATACAGTCAATGCAAAAACATTAGTGATGCTCTCTTGATGGAATCTTACTCTCCCCCTGTTTCATGGGGGGGAAAGGCAAGATGCCTTTCACAGACGTGCAGAGTATTCCATGAAGTCTCTGCATACCACACAGCTATAGAGAAACATTTGGTAGCTCACACGTGCACTCACAAATTAAAGGCAAAACCGTACCTAGAGCTTTAAGAAAGCAAATAACCTTTTTATTACTTCTGGTTTTGGTAGAACATTTAACGGATCGACCAGAGCACAGCAGGAATGTTCTACCCGTGTACTTTAGCTTATTATAAAAATGTACAGATATTATAGTGTCTAGGGCTCTAAATACTGTGGGGGGAAATTTGTCGCTTCACTGACGTTTGATTTACAGTTACGTTTGTCCATTATTTATCCGCAGCGGTTGCCAAAATAACACAAAAGCAAGCAAGCAAACAAATTAATAAAGGACCCCTCTTTCTCCCTCTTAATAAACCTAAGATCACGTTTTATGTTAAGCCTACTAACATCATCATATAGTAACTATAATGGGCACTGGGAATTACAGAAAGTCTCATGAAACTTTTGAAGAAGATCAAGTGTCGTTTAGCTTTGTGTCGTACTTTAGTTTAATTAATTAATATTCATTTTACCGGGGTATAATACATGAAATGCCTTAAAAGATGAATGACAACAGTTATACAGTACCCATCCTGATTTTAACGTGAAAATGGTTTTTACTTACACATTATCAGCTGGGGCGTCGTTATGTGTTGTTTTATCCACTTGATACTAAAGCAATATGGGAGTGTATTATTAACTGGAAAGACATAAAATATTATTATTATCATCGCGTTAAAATAGTAAAATCCGCTGGCGTCTTCTCGCTATAGAGGGAGCACCCTGTCATACAAAAATACTATACAGTAATCCCCCACGTATCGCGGAAGATGCGCTCCAGACCCATCAGCGATAGGTGAAAATCCGCATTATTGAAAGACCATATAAATAAAAATTTTTTAAATATAGTTTAAGCCTTAAAATACCCCTCCCACACGCTTTAAACACATGTAAACTTATTAAAACAACACACATGATATGTGGATGTCGGGCTAAGGATATGAGTAACATAATAATAATAATAATAATAAACTATATACTACATATTATTATTTTTATTGTATATATATGTATTAGTGCTGTCAAACGATTAAAATTTTTAATCAGATTAATCACAGGGTTGCTGTGGATTAATTTCGATTAATCACGATTAAATGTCATTCATTTTTAGTTTATATTAATCGCATTTAATTTTGCATGAGCAAAAAGACTCAAGAAAAAAAGGAATATATATGCACTTAACATGTTTATTGAACATCTTGAACACGAGTCGGATGCATTCCATCTGCCACAGAAGTGCAATACCATGGGCCCATAGCAAGATTTTTTGCTTGGCCAGACAACTTGTTGTATTTAAGGTACCTCAGTTTAAATGGTCTTTATCTTTGTTCACTTACAATTAGCCCGAAGTACCGTAAATCCGACAAATAATCAGACTAATCATGAAATCCAATTCTAGCCCGGTTAATTGCCATTGTTAGCAATATCAGTTGATAACACATTACGCGCGGTGCTTTACGTATAAAACTCATAAGTTGGCAAATAAGTTGGATGGTATAGTGTGTGCGACCGATTTAATGAGCCACAAATGAGAAGTAGTGCTTAAACAGTATAAAACTACAACTTTCCCTTCTGTTGATAAAATACGCAGCCATCTTCGATTCTGAACTCGGGATCCTCTGTGCTGCTCCGAGATATTTCTGGGATCTCCGAGAAACGGGAGCGCACATGTCATCACTTCCGGCTTAAAAACTCGGAATCCGACTCGGAATACGAGTTCCCAGGGCAGAGGCATTACAGGGATTTTGAGTCATTCTGCACTGCAGATGGGTTAATTGTGTTAAAAAATTTTTTATCAGATTAATCATGATGATGGATTAATCCGCGTTAACCCGTTAATTCTGACAGCTCTCATATATATATATATATATAAGAACATAAGAATATATATATATTAATGCTGTCAAATGATTAAAATTTTAAATCAGATTAATCACAGGGTTCCTGTGGATTAATTTTGATTAATCATGATTAAATATCATTCATTTTTAATCTATATTAATCACATTTAATTTTGCATGAGCAAACAGATACAAGTTCCGAGGGGAAATGGAACGCACTAAAACTACCCGAAATGGGTTGACAGAGACATTTCAGTGATTTTGAATGGGTTATATGGGTTAATTGTGTTAAAAATTTTAATCAGATTAATCATGATGATGGATTAATCCGCGTTAACCCGTTAATTTTGACAGCCCTAATATATATATATACACACACACACACATACACATCTCTCTCTCTCCTCTCTCTCTCTGTATACGTAATGGTATATATACGAATATAATCTATATACGGACACTAAAACTAATCCATGCCTTCATCACTAACCGCCTTGACTACTGTAATGATGGCCTCCCATCAAAACTACAATATGTTCAGAACTCTGCTGCCTGTTTGCTAACACATACGAGAAAACTGCCCACATCACCCCGATTCTTCATGATTTACAAAACGGAAATAATTGGACCACAAGGTACGAGATACGCAGAGAACTGTGACGCGTCGGGGAAAAAATCTGCGATATAGCGGGGGATCACTGCATGTACTGCCATATGTAAAGCAGTTGTTTACCAAATAAATCAATAGAAACGCAAAATATCGGAATGGGTATTCCGTTAAAAATTACTTTGTGACTAAATAGTTGGCTACTAATGCCAAAAATATGATTATTATTATTATTATTATTATTATTATTATTATTATTATCTACACAGTAGAGTATCAAAATTCTCTCATCGTTGGATAAAATCTAATCACTCCTCCGTCTGCCTTTTAACCGTTTATTTTAGGCTATTTGGCGGGCAAACCCTGTGCCCACTATCCAATGCGGAATGGCAGCGGGCAGCAGTTGGTGTAGAATAGAATAGAATAGAATAGAATAGAATAGCTACTTTATTGTTATTCAGAACATACATCAGTTAATGCACATCAGAACGAAGTTACGTTGTATTAACTCACCATCGGCCTAGCAGAGTGTATTAATATTAAAAATCTTAAACTTAAAAAATATAAAATCTAAATACAAAATAAATAATTACCACCACCTGCGACAGATAGATGCCAACAAAGGTCAGATACATTATAATAGCGATACTTGCTCTCATCAAAGTGGCACACAACAAAGAATCAAATAATGATCCGACAGCAATGGGACAGTGGGTGAGTGATTTGTAAAGTGAACTATTTGTTCCGGTCAATAATGCGGTGGGTGCATAACTTACATTTAAAAACACTTATCCATTTTTTTGCATAGTATTAATGTCAAAAGAAATAAACATTAATCTCAACTAGATACTAAATGTTGCATAATTAAAGCATTGAAGGAGATGTACTCTGAGCTGCTACAGAGCAGAGAAGGGTTCCTGCCTGTACACCATATAACAGGGCAGAGCAGGGTTCCTGCCCGTACACCATATAACAGGGCAGAGCAGGGTTCCTGCCCGTA